AGACACATCGATTATCAACGCCAGCGTGGATTAATTAGATTAGATAAGATAATCTAGGTAGTGGCCTCATGGAATTAACCGCAAAAGGCGGCGAAGTGTTTCGGAGAACTCACCCAAAATCTGCGAAACTCGTCCAGATGCCTTAAATCGAATAGGGTCTTATTCCATGTTCTTGCACCCCTTTTTCCTACTTTTTTGATTAATGCTTCATTGCCACCTGTTCTAACAAATCTGACCCCTAAAACCTGCCAAAGTCCATCGCGGGCGCTGTCTTTAAAGAGGTGCCATGGAAATATTCTCCAGTCACAAACAGCCCTTGAAGCCTATCTCCACTGAACCTACACTTTTTTATTTTCTCAAGAAGCGTGCCGCATCATGAAGAGTCTTTTTTCAGAATGCTCAGATTTCCATCCGCACTGCAAAGCTTGGGCAAAGTCCCATTTCTGCAATACCAGGAAGGACTACATGTGGGAGAATTGTAGATGGTCGTGTCGGTAAGCAACTCAGTTGAACTTTGTAAACTATGGCCTCGTAAATTACTGATTGCCTTTCAGGAAATGCGATCTCCTGAGGCCAGGCGGTCGCCAAGCAGCTTGCCAGTCGTTACGACCACCCTCTTCGAAAAAAATCGTGCAAAAACCGACTACTGTGAGTGACTCATCCTGAGTGTTTTTCCCCCGAGTGTGTTGTGTTAATTGGTGTTTTCTTTTCAGTCGCAAGATGCATATGTCATTCCGAAAGAGACATTAACATCAGCCATTGCCACTTCTTCTTCAGGTTAAGGAATTGATACTCCATGAATAAATATGTATAATTTCACTCCGAAGGTGTTCTATCGAAGGCATATTAAAACTTGCAATTATCACTGGGAAAGATTCAATTTGGGCAAGGTGTTATATAATGAGTGAAGAAACAATTCAAGTTCAGAACATCATCAACGTTAATGAATCAACGCTGAGAAATAGCCTGTTCCAAAACGAGAGAATATCGCTAATTCATTAAAGGCAGCGCCGCGTTCATTTGATGTACCTACGTCCTCCTTAGATATCGTAGCTTCATCGACAAGGGTGGAGGATTGTACAATTGCAGCTGCAAAAAATACGAGAGGATGGCGCCACTCGCTTGTGAATAGGATGCCGCCCCGCCCCAACTGCTTTGGCTTAGCTTTGAAGGCTAAGCCCACTTTCAAGAATAATGAGTCGTGGAGCTCATATAATACGTGATCCAATACTGAACAAAAAACCGACGGAAAATGCCCTATATAGAACCTTATGCTGGCCAGGTGGGCGGGGCGGCCGACTCTTCACTAGCGAACGGCGCTATCCTCTCGCCTTTTTGAGATGCAAAACTAGTACATACTGCATCCTCATAAGGAAGGCTATGATACTCTCATTGAAGGAGCACTTTGTGCAAATTGAATTACCCCATACTACCGGACGAGTACCTTCCGCTCGCACGCACTCTCAAACGCCAAGTGCTGGGCCACGTGAATTCACCGCCCCAAGACCCGTGTCGCCGGCATTCTAATATGCATTTCCCAAAATGCTACCACCTCCCCCATCCCCCCACCTTTTAAAGAGATAGCAGAGTCTCAGACCTGCCCACCCTCTGTTTTTGGGATGTGGAGGATACGCTACGGTTAGCGTTACTGCATGCAACATGCTATCCACCCACCCAACCCACCGCGATGAAGCAAGCTTTTTCACAATTCATAATGTCAACGACCAGAGATAAGAATACGGTAACACCACCTGAATAGTACTTCTCCCCTCCTCGCCACCGGCACCACCATTTCCTGAAATCATCAACTCTAAGTTGTCAAATTAGACCCTCACTTTTACATAGTATGCCGCACCTCGACCGCGCCCCTCTGGTCGTAGTTACATGCAGGCAGCCATTACAAGGCGTGCGGGTCCCGACCCCCAGGAACGACCCGGAGGTCAATAGCCGGACCGGCTTCCGCACATGCCAACCAATTTCTCCGTTCCGGGAAAGGTAAGTCCGTACCAGTTTCGTCTAGTAGGACAACACGTCTTTATATGCTCACGAAAACTCATCACATATATTTGTTACTATACAAATCAACATGCAAAACAACTAGTCAATCCATTAAATAGAACAACAGTAGCAAAAACCACAACAACGTTACGACTCCTTGACTACTATTCCCTCTCGCGCTCGCACGCTCGTGCACCTCAGCCCTGCTGTTTCAATTTTAAGGCGTATAGGCAGCGATAATGCTATAGACAGTGTGGATTTCAGTAACTGCTTACAACAGGAGCCATTCCGTCGACCGTGGACAGGCGCTGCGTGAAGCTTTTCCAAAGGAGGGTACCATCTAATAAACGCGCCTAATTGTATGGCAACTTTACGAATATATCCACAGACGCTTCTTGCCGCACGCACCGCACAAATGGACAGCCGATTCTAGACACGACTCACATTCATTCATTTGCTAAGGCAATTAATAAGCGAAGGATTGGTATGAAGACGGCCCACCCCGTGATGCTGCATGGCCATATCAGCGTCCCCACATATGCCAGCACGTATCTCGGTAAGCGGTGATTGTAGAATGTCTACGGAACTAGTCCGGAATCGATTTACAAAGTCTATCTGAGAATGGAGGCTTTCGTCGGCAAGGTAGAGAGTTTCACTCCGTTCTTATGGCCCTTCCCCTTTCGACGCTATCACCTCTTAGGCCTATGTCGGAACCATCGTGTCACATGCCATACAACGACCCATCATCAATTGATTTTAGAGAGAAACACGAATGTCGTATTCGCAAATAAAACAACATGTAGATCAGTGGAAGAGATGAAGAGTCCATGGTTTTTGAGGCAAGTTAGAAACCATTGCGTTGATAATCAAGTTAATAAACACGTGGCCGGCGGATAGATAATGGGTCGGGCGCTCCAGCACCAACGTGGCGGAGCGAGGTGTAGCCTTGACTGAACTGGCGGCGAAAAACCCCATGCATCGTATGAGGGCCGACCGTACCCTCCGCGAGGTGAGCTGTACATGTCCTAAAAATGAAAAATCCCGCAGCTAGAAGGCTTAGACACTTACATGAGTTAACACGTTGAACGAACGGTGTCGGACAATGTTGGGTCGACAGCATACTGCTCTAATAATAAAGACGTGCGAGCAACCAAGTATGTTCAAAAGATGTCTATAGGAGCAGACTGAAGTTCTGAAACGAACAGCATAGTAGTAGTTTTGCCCGGACTGCCCGCCACAGGCGCCGACGCCAAAATACCTTAGGTCACCAAAATCGTTGAAATCTTGTCTCGCGAGGTAGCTTGAGCCCCTGAACACGAATATCACATTCGTTTCCCGCCCACAGGCGCTGGCGCCAAAATACGTTAGGTCCACCAAAATCGCTGAAAACTTGTCTCGTGGGGTAGCTTGACCGCATTTACACGAATATCACAATCGCTTGCCACAAAACCGCCTGGCGCCCGCGCCAAAATGTCGCTAGAATACCATATTCCTAGGTAAACCTGTCCTCTACCAGTGAACCGAGCCCCTAAACAAAGATATCGTGTCCACTTGACGCGTTGACGAGGATTTCCGTCAATGGTGGACGACAGAAAGTTTGTCGGGTGGAACGGCGTCGCCTAATGCTGTCCCACAGTTATTATATAGCTCAAGAATCTGCGCGATTGTTCACTTGCTTTTCATAAAATTAGTTCGAATGAACAAACCATTTTCGGTCGAGGGCAAGCGATACTGTTCTTTAATGAGATCAAACCACCCCGGAAGACAAATTTTAGTCAGTTCTGTCTCCAGAGGAAGAATTTGGTAAAAAAATGGCCTGATTTTGGAAGATTGGAGCAATAAGAGAAAAATTTGTCAAACATTCAAGATTGGTATACTCGTCTCTTGCCTGCTCTCATAGCACTTTTGATCGTAGTAATTCATTTATTTGGAAATTACTAAGTTTCAATGCAGAAAAATGTGCCGTCCCACGCGCAAGTCATGGGAAAAATGGCTCGTCGTCAAGGTGTTAAGAAGGTGTGACACTAGCAAAGCAACTATGGCTGATTAAAAAGAATTGTGTAGCTTGAACTCACACCCTCGCGTAATAAGGGGCGGATCCTCCTGGTGATCCTCCATACCCAGCACCACCTCTACCATAGCCGTATGAATATCCAAAATCGTTGTAGTACCCGGGTGGTCCAGCTGGTCCTCTTTCAACGGGTTCATCTCGTGGAGCAGCGAGAGTCACGACGATTGCAGCGAGAGTCACGACGATTGACGTACCGTCAATCACGAAGTTGCCAGTTCTTAATTGACAATCTTTTGTAGCGGGTTCGTCTTGCACCGAAATCTGTTGTTTTTTACAACCAAAGTTCATCACATTCTGAAGTCCATTTCCTCAGGGAGCACCATCCAAAATATACCGGCAGGGTGCCAACAGCATTTTAGTGATCCTTGTACAGATATAATGCACATAATGAGCAACTTTTCTAGTGCCCACACTATGCTCCGCCCCCTAAGCCACGCCCCCTTCTAGACGTTTTAATGTTTTTTGACGTATTTAATTGTTTAAAATTTGAAAAAAAAATGAAAACATGATTCTTATAATGCACGATATTTTGCCATTTATAGATCTAATAGTTGCATACAAGCCCCTCCCAATACGTACTTTAGGGTGCTTCTAAAATTCCTGACATTGTTTTAAATACCTTCTCAGATTTTTCTGTGGTAATTCCCACTTAGGCGGCCTCTAAAGGTGTTGAGTAAGCAACCTAGGGTCATTTCACCGTAGATTACGCAGCATACGTTCTCCTGTCTACAACGGTAGAAGAAAGACATCGTTCTCGTCACACTACTTACATCCACCGAGTAACCAAGTGGTCGGAGCCAAACGTATTAGTTGCTCAAAGTTAGGTCCTGATGCTGCCTTTTATAGTACGCTTCGAAATGGCACGATCGACTTCGTTTGAAGACAGTTCCCACAATCAAAGGGGCTGCGATACCATCGTGCAACGGCTTACAAGCGGAATTGCGAGTGTAAATAGCGCTGCTTGGAGCGTCGTAGAATGATTTCTGCGCTCTTGCCGGAAGTGAGCTGCACGTCGAATCCTGCTCATTGGGCTTGCCGACGTCCGAAAAACTTGTCAAGGGCGCCCTCTGTTAAGCGGGGGGGGGGTCTCTGTTCAGAATGTTCGCAAAGTTTTTTCGCTTCTTTCTCTATTGAGGGCTACTGGCTGAGCACCTACAACGCGTAACAC